AGCTTACATAACAATAGTGAGGATTCATGACTCTAAAGACCAGAGCCCCCTTCCTTTGAAAGAGGATGATATTAACACCCACTTAGCACTTCCATTTGAGAATTGGACATAATGTGGATACTGTCCTTGGCATGGGAGCAGGCGATTGAGAGCAGATCCACACCTGCACCCTTGGGTTTCTTGGTGTTCATTCCCGTGGTTAGGCCAGAGTGGCTGTTGATCCACACCCAGGAGGTTGTATCCCCAGGAGCCTAGGATTCCCCTCTCACCCAATGCTATGGTCTGAATGTTTGTCCCCTCCAAAGCTTATGTGGTGCTTAATCCCCAATACGATATATGAAAGTCAGGGCCTTTAAGAGGAAATTGGATCATGAGGATTGTGCCCTCATTGATGGATTAATCCATTCATGGATTAATGGGTGAATGATTTAATGGATTATCAGGGTGTAGACTGGGGGCTTCATAAGGAGAGCAGGGGAGCACATGCACACGCTCTTAGCCCTCACCATGTGATTCCCTGAATTGCTATGGTGCTATGGGACTCTGTAGAGTTTCCACCAAAAAGAAGGCCCTCACCAGATGCATCCCTCAACCTTGGACTTCCCAACCTCCAAAACTGTAAGAAATAAATTTCATTTCTTTATAAATTACCCAGTTTCAGGTATTCTGTTATAAGCAATGGAAAACAGACTAATACACACAGGGACTCCACCTCTCCCAAAGGAAAACATTATATTCCATCCCTAGTACCCAGACTCCTATCCACTTGTCTGAGGTTGCTGGATCCCCTCCTAGTTTATTCTCACACCTCCAGGGGCCTGTATCTCTGCCTCCTTTCGAGTGTTGATTCTGCAGTGCCAGCAAGAAGCTTGCCACTTTCTTGATCATTTTAGGATGGCATTTTTCTGCTGATCCCATTGTCTGAGAGATTTCACTATCACTGGCACATGGCACAGTCATTTGTATCTCACTCTTGACTGAGTCTTGGGGACAAATATGTCCAGAGCCTACAAGTTATGACAATCAGTAGTCAATCAGGTACCCATCTCTCATGGAATCCAGAGCTGAGAGTTTTAATCTCTCTAGGTTTCAAATCACTAACAGAATAGCCAGACAGAAGTATGACCAGCCACACTACATTTTAAGTGCACATTGCCTAGTAATAGCTTTCTGGAGACTAGCAGAAATGATCTTATCTAGATCCACAGGATAAACCAAAGGATAACATTCCACTTGGCTAACTGGTAGAGCAGAATAGAATCTCTATATAAAGGATTTTAGTGGTATTTCCTGTTCTTTACCCTAGGACTTGTTTCAAATGCAATTAGGTATGGTTAAATGTTTCAGGAAGACAGAACCACAGGAATTAACCAGACCAGCCCCAGCTAGATTTACAGCCTTATCCCCGACTCTCGACTCTCGGAGCAGGTGGGGAGGGGTCAAAATGGTCAAAGCTCTGTGCACTGAAGGAAAGTGGAGAGATGGAGTTTCCCAAGGGAGACCCCACACTTATTTTTGTCTGAGGGCAGCAGGATGGTGACCTGGAGGGGGATTGCTTGTCAATTGCCCTGTTTGTTTTACCTTGCTGACTTCCTGTAGTCTGGTATATGCACACCGTGTGAGCTTGTCCTGTGGTGCCTTTGGTGTGTTTGTGAATTCCTATGCCTTCCTCCTTTTGACATCTAAGAGCGTGGTAACTCCTTAATCATCCTGTTAGGGACACTCCAGGAGACCAAAGAATTCAGGAGGTGTCTTGTTGGGGAGAGGTTAACAGCAAGGCACAGTCTCCCTTTTTCCTCTTCTCTTGTTTTCTCCACATTCATTTGATCACAAGATTCATTTCAAAGTTTATTAATAGTGAGTCACTGAACCTAAACATGGTCTCTCTAATCAGAAAATTTTGATTAGCAACATGCCTTTTTATCATAGTGTCTCCCAAGACAATGAAGTGGTGGATTCTTGGGAAGTTTCTGAAATTTTCAACATACAATAGCTAAAGAGGTGATTTAAAATGACTGGAGCTTGACAGCAACCCAGTATAGGTGGTGCCTAGGGAGCAAGAAAGGAATTAAACTTCTCCAAGAGTTAAACTGTGAATCCAACACATAAGAGACCAGGACAGTCATAGGGAGGAAGGGCTTCCAAACACCTGCAAGACTTTGTGAACTGTGTCATAGGATTATGGGTGATAGTTGAATTTCTCATCATAAATCGAATTACTGATGCTCCGGATTTTTACTTCCTTGCAAGTTGGTTAGCGCAGCAGCATGCTCAAGTCAAATCCCTGCTAGGGCATTATATTTGGTAGTTTGGCTACCGACCAGACTGAGGACCACGGAAAAAGCTCCTCATGCAGCTGAGGTCTCACAGCCTCTCCACCCGTGTGCTCACCCTGACACCTCCTGAGCACCCTCTGAGCCACAGTGCCACAGGCACTGTGCCAGCAGTTGGTATTTTTTCTGTTCCCTTGAAGCATGCCTGGTTGCATTGGGGTGGGAAGGTCCAAGGTGAGAAAAGGAGACCCAATAATCCTCTGACTTGGTCTAGAGCTTTAGTATTTTCAAAGCACTTTACCCTTATTTCATCTCCTTTGATCATCTCAATAATCCTGTGAAGCAGGCAGGATCATGATGGAATAGCCACTGTGGCTCTTGCAGCAGTGAGGTAGAAAATGCTATTAGGTACACTTGCACTATTACTACACTCTCCTTTAAAGGGCTGCAGATCACCTAGTGTATTCTTCCCAATTACAGATGAGGACACGAAGGCAGACAGATGTTTAAGAAATTGGGTGTAAGGTTACCCAGCTCATTGGTGACTGGGTAAGGACCAGAATCCTGGTCCTGTCTATACCTGCATCTGTGCTTGTCTCAGTGCTCAAGAAAGTCTTGTGACAGAAATCAGAGTCCCCAGTCACCACTGAACATTCGAATCCAAGCAGGTCCACCTCCTTGCTACCATTAGGAAAGATTTTCTTTTGCAGGGTCATTCATAAAACTATTACTTTTTTTTCTTCTTCTTTTATTTTTAATTGACATGTAATAATTGTACATATTTATGGGGTACAGAATGACATTTTGATACATGTACAAACTGCGTGATGATTAAATCAGGCCAATTAGTATATCCATCACCACAAACATTTATCATTTCTTTGTGATGAGAACATTTGAACTCCTCTCTTCTAGCCATTCAAAAATATACCATAAATTATTGTTAATTATAGACACCTAGCACTACTATACAATACTCAAACTTATTCTTATCTAGCTGTAATTATGTACTTGTGAAACCATTATATTAACTCCGAATTCCTTTCTCAAAATTCCACAGGCAGTCTCTCAAATCTACACAATACCCTGACACCTTGATATGTATAGCTTGTCCTTCCTTTTTTCTTACATTGTGAACTAGAGCATTTATAGAGTATGGTGCAAAGACATTTATGTACAATTTAAAGACTTATTACAAAGACTAATAATTCTGCTCAAGAAACTGAACATTGTTGGCATCCCCGGAACCTCAGATGCCCCTCCCCAACCCTCACCTTCATTCTCCTCGCTAGAGGTAACCACCATCCTGCTTCTGTGATAATTGTTTTCTTGCTTTTCTTCATAGTTTTACTTCCTATGTATGTATCCCTAAATGATAGTTTTGTTTTACCTGTTTTGGAATTGCTATAAATGGAGACATACCATATGGTGTGCATTTTTTAAATGTATTTTTTTGTTGTTGTTAATTTGCCCTTTAGGTAGCCCTGAGCTAGGAGTCATGGCAGCCAAACCCAAGCTGTGCTATTTTCAAGGTAGGGGCAGGATGGAGTCGATCCGCTGGCTGCTGGCTGCAGCTGGAGTGGAGGTTGGTTCCTGACGGGAAAAGGAAGGAGGATAATTTGCCTGGGATTGAAGTGGTTCCCTTTCCCCTTCAAAATTCAGGATGGTGCCTCTAGGCTGTATCTACTCATTCTCTTTTCAAGTGTCTTCTTTTGTGAGAGAGGAGGAAGGGACCATAGTGCTGGAGGGGTGAAGATGTGGGAGGAGTTTGTGGGCTAGAGAGTGTTCTGGAAGCTTCGTAGGTGTGAAAAGATCTTAGAAGATCACAAGACAAAGGAGTGAGAGGAGACTCACATCTGACTTTCCATTGGGACTGGGAGATTTTCTGGGGTCTTTTCAGCTCTACCTCAGTACCCCAGTCTTGTCACACTCATGGCTGCTGACCATACCGTCAGGCCCAGCTAAGTCTCATCTCTCCTTGAGCTGTCCCCTGAAAGACGCACCCCCTAGATCTTCCCTTAACTCTGAATTCCCTCCCCGCTGACTTTTCCATAGATTTTCACAAGTGCCTTGGTCGATTCTGTCCCATGCAGGTGGAGGCTTCCTTTTCCCTGTTTGGATGTCATCTCCTCTGGAGCGAGGACTCGTTACCTTCTTTGTTTTCCTCTTTTTCCCTTTAGGGACCTCTCTCTGCACTGCTCCCCTTACCACACCCCCATCTCAAGATGTGGGGGACAAATAATCACTCTTTCTCACAAATGTTTTAGAAACTTCACTAATAAATTATAATAATTTCACCTGAGTAATGATTTTTGGATCTCTTTCTTCGAAGAGAAATATAATTTGCCCTGATATGGAGGGAGAATAACACAGAAGAGGCAGAAGAAAGAGAAGAGAGGGAAGGGAAGAGGAGAAATCATCGGGGAAGCCGGAGAGAGGACAAGAGTTTGGACAGAGGAAGGACTAAGATGAAGGAAAGGAAAAATAGGAATGGGGGCTTGGGGATATCCTCCAAGTAGCCAAAACCCAAAAAGGGCTTCCAGGCGCATGTGATCTAAGCTAATCTGCACACATACTTTGTCAGAGTTGTCGGATGTGTGGTAGTCAATGGCTTTATGGTTCCTTTTAAAATTTTATTTGGGAACCCTTGGGCATTTTACACTGTGAGCATTTCTCTCTTTTTGAGGACTTTAAAGTTATGACAATGTCCCTCTATCCTTTATCTAGTTTGAAGAAGAATTTATTGAAACAAGAGAACAGTATGAAAAGTTGCAGAATGGTGAGCCTAGATTGATTGATTCAATGTTATCTTATTTGAAAAATAAAAACTCCTGTCTGGAAATACTCATTTCGATGTGGAACGCAGAGCTCAGAATGACAGCTTTGAGCAAAGGCAGGCACCCGGCCTGGCTGCTACTGCTGACCACTCACTGTGTCCTGCACACAGCTGTCATGTACGTTACGATGATGACCTCAATTAATATGATAGCATGGCTTGACCAGCACTAATTGGCTCAATACTCCCCCTCCCACCAAAGAATCCTTGAAGAATTCTTAAATACTAATCCAATATTCAAGAAGTCTGTAATCATTACAATTACCAAGAAAAATTTCTCAAACTGAGAGAAAGAGAGTACTTTTAGAGGATTTCTTAAAGTTCTAACAGACTTACCATTTATTGTCCTTATCTAAGGAAACCTGGGTGTCCCCATTTTTGCTGATAAACAATCACGAAATTAACACAAACTGCTTTTTAAGAAGGACACTCAACTAGCAGCAGAACTGCCACTTATAAACTGTATGACTTTGGGCAAGGCCTTTAACTTCTCTGTGTTGCTGTCTCCTGATACTAAAATAAAAATAATCTCTACGGTCACAGATTACAATGTGCCAGTAGATCTTATTGAGTGAAAAGGGCCTGGGTACCCCTTCCCCAGTTCTTGTCAAGAAACGTTATTATCTGCAGTCCCCTTGAAGCTCCCCTTCCTCTTTATTTCTGCCCCACTCCACCCCGAATGAGGACAGTTCTTGGTACATAGTAGGGGTTAAATACAGAACCATTGAATAAGTGAATGCATCTCCATAAACTCTTCCAAGAGCATTCCAGCAGGGAGTGCTCCCTAACAGCCTCTGAAATCCTCCAGTCCTCCCTGACTCAGTGATGCTGCTGCTGCTCTGAGGGCACCCTCCTGGGCATTACTGTTATTTGTGAACAGGAGGAAGAGAGGGACAGCAGGAAGAGCACTGCACTGGGAGTCAGGAGGCCCACTCTGTTGGCTTAGCTGTCCCCTGACCATGTGAGTTTGGGCAAATCATGTTCATCTCCCTTGGCCTCTGCAGTGCCTTCATCTATAATATGAGAAAATTGAACAAAAAGATATAAAAATCCTGCACTCTTGATATGAAATTTTAAAAATCCTTCTGAAGAAGATCGTCAGCTCCTAGAAGTAGGTATCGCTTCTAACTGATGTTTGTTTGACTCATAAGCAGCAGTGCAGTGCCTGGCTTTCAGATGCTTGTTCAATACTGAATGAACGTAGAAATGCCTTTACTAAATGGAGGTTTTGCGGCTTCTCCATTAATAATAATACTAATATTTCCAAAGCGTAATCTTATTCCTACTCAAAGAAACCAGGTAAGATGGGTGGGACAGATACTGTTGCAGAGCAGATAGACGCTTGCCTAAAGTCATCCAACTAGACAGGGACACTGGCTCTCTGGAGAGCTGTCACTGATTCTTGAGGAGATGTCCTCCCCACTGTCTTCTACTGCCTCTCATTAAATCAAGCAGGGACAGTATTAGAAGCTGGGGGAATTAACTGTGGCCTTTGCCAATGCACTGGTGAAGTCTGGTTCCTATTCTGGGTAAATTTCCTTATTCTTGACAATGTGCAGGTATTAATGGAAATTTAAAAGCTATTCATTTCTTCAAGACATCATGAAATGACACCATTTGTAATATTTCTTTAAATGTATTATTTATATAAGTAGTCACTTGCAAAAAGGGGAACTCAATTTTACTGAACATTGATTACTGACGGTATTAGTGTTTTACTTATATTCTCTCATTTCATCCTTTCAAATTCCTGCCAGATAGATATGGTTGCTATTTTACAGAAAGGAAGCTGAAGCTCAGGTAAGTAATTTGCTCAAAGTCACATGGTTAGAAAGGGCTAAGGCTGACAAGTGAACCCAGGACTGCCTGGGCTCTTGCTGTCACATCCATTCTGCTTCTGTGCACACCTGGAGTGATACCTGATGTGCTTTATAAAGAATGCAGACCCCCAGACTCTACCCTGAGTCAGAGTGTCTGGGACATGGGGTGGGTATTTTCCTCACCCCAGGTGGTTCCTTTTTTTTTTGTCTTTTCGTTACCGGTAAGAGGATCGCAACCCTTGGTGTGGAGTCGTCTGCACCGCGCTCAGCCAGTGAGCGCACTGGCCATTCCTATGTATGATCCGAACCCGCAGCGGGAGCATCACTGCGCTCCCAGCACCGAACTCTCCCGAGTGCGCCACGGGCTCGGCCCCCAGGTGGTTCTTATACACCTTGAACTTTAAGACCCAGAAGCACTTCCTTAACATAGGAATTGTAAATGTGGGAAATCAAATAATCATGATTAACCAGCATGCAAAAAAATGCATGAAACCACCAAACAAATCTCAAATTTTACATGAAGCAAATGCTAGGCATTTCCTCAACAACTGGGGTCTTTAACTCATCACTTTGGATGAAAACTAAAAATCACTCAGTGAAATTAGAAGTGGACCACCCTGCAGTCTTGCTGCAACCATTGAAAAAGAGTATCCTAATATCTCTTTGCTCAAACCACAGATGGACACCTGCTTTTTGGCCAAGTGCCTATGGTTGAAATTGATGGAATGGTGCTGATGCAGACTAGAGCCATCCTTAGCTATCTTGCTGCCAAATACAACCTGTATGGGGAGGACCTAAAGGAGAGAGTCAGGTACCACAGTGTTCATGTCTATACTTGATTCTTGTCCAAGCTTCTGCAGTTCAGCACCAACTGAAACCTGGTTCAGGTGTACCTTTCAGCCTGGACTGGGAGGAGAAGGCAAGAGGAACAAAGTGGAGCAGTCTTGCTAGACCTGGTGTGCCTGGTGCAGAACTGTGGATAATGCTCCATGTCTCCCCCTTTTTTTTTTTTCCTTTTTGTCTTTTTTCGTGTCCGGCAACGGATCGCAACCCTCAGTGTTGCCCCCGTACCAGACCGGGACCGGCAACGGGAACGCAACCCTTGGTGTTGCTCCCACACCTCACTCAGCCAGTGAGCGGGAACCGGTCTGTATGTGGGACCCGAACCCTCGGCGGGAGCGCCGCCGTGCTCCCAAGCGGCGCACTGTAGCAGTGCGCCACCGGGCCGGCCCCATGTCTCCCCTTTTTGTGTACTACTCATAGTGGTCTGCTTTTAGCAGTCTCATATTCTACCCCCACTCCTAACAAAACATGCTCTTGGAAAATAACCTGGTAAACTATTCTACATGGAAGTGGAAATGACTGACTCAGCAAACAAATACTGAGCATTGCATCACTGTCTATTTATTATAAATAATGCTGTAGAACACATCGCATTGAAACACAGTGACTGAAATCAGCAAGCATTTATTATTGCTCAACAGTCCATGGGTCATCTGTGTGGCTGGCCTATCTGGCTTGACTTCTCTCAGCTGGACTCACTGTATGTCTGTAGTCAACCAGCAGTTACCATGCAAATATTGTTTGGGGTGTTGGCTGACTATCAATTAGGGGACGAATGGGCCATCCTGTCTTCCTGAGCTTCTTCTCATGGCATCTAGGGAGGGTTCTAAGAGTGAGGGTGAAAGCATGCAGGCCTCTTAAGTTCTGGGCACAGAACTGGTACCTCATCATTTCCACCTGATTCTGTTAGTCAGAGCAAGTGACAAGGTCAGTCTTAGAAATAGACCCCATCTGTTGATGGAAGGAGCTGCCAAATGTCATTGGAAATACTGGAGGGTGAGGATTTGTGGCCATTTTTTTGCATTTATATACCACAAGCATGTACTCTGTGCTGTGCACTGTGCTAGGCCTGGCTGAGGACGACTGGGTTATTACTCCTAGGACAGATTAGTTTCACAGGAGATAGTAGAATTAAGACAAAACAAAGATTTGCAACTACAAAATTGTATGTGGACTTGGAGTAGAGGAGTCTTTTCAGTGGTCCCTAAAATCTCATCACTATAAACATGGATACAGTGAAGATGGTCAGTATACATCCAAGACATGGTAGAAGAAAACCCCTAGCTCAATTATTTAAAAAAAGAAGAAAGAGGGCTAAGTCAGACATGAGCAAAGACCATAAAAAGTAACAGCCAACCCAACTTTCCCATATTTCCATTTTTAAAACAGACATAGTCATTCCAACCTGTAATCCCAAAGGTATATGACAAGAGAAGCAATTTCAAACAGTGTGTGAATAAAATCCTTTTGTAACAATGTAAGTGCTGATATGCAAAAGCAGTCTCTCATTGTTTGGGAGCATATTTTTAGTTGGTTTTTGTGATTTTTCCAAGGTTTCCATGGTTTTTTCCATGATATGCATCCGAAACTATAGGTAATATTGTTAATATTCTTTCCTCTAGGTTAGGCATAAACAGTAATAGATGAAAGCAAGTGAGCCAGGTGACAATCTAACATGGAAGAAAAATGATGTGCAATTCAGATAGGACAATGAAAGTATGTTATTCTTTTACATGTCCTTAAAAAGAAAGACAAAGTCTACAGAAGACCATTTTCTCAGTCTATTTTGTGCTGCTATAACAGAATACCTGAGAGTGGGTATTTTATAAAGAAAAGTAGTTTATTTGGCTCATGATTCTGGTAGCTGGAAAGTCCAGGATTGGGCAGCTACATCTGGTAAGGGCCTCAGGTAGCTCCCACTCAAGGGAGAAATTGTAAGGGGAGTGGGCATGCACAAAGAGATCTCATGGCAGGAAAGAAACTGAGGAACCCAGACTCTTTTTAACAGCCTGCTGTCATGGGGAACTAATCCATTCTGTTGAGAGTGAGAACTCACTGACTCCTATGGAAGGGCATTAATCTATTCATGAGGGATCTGCCTCCATGACCCAAACATCTTTCACTAGGCCCAACACTCCCACATTGGGGATCAAATTTCAACACAAGCTTTGGGCATTTAAACCATAGCAATCATTAAACTAAATTTGCACATAGAGGGGGATTCAAAGACACACTTGTAGAGAGAACTAGCTCAGCATGAATGTACCAATAGGCCAGTAAATAACAGTAATATATCTACCATTACACCATTGTTAGTTGTTTTAATAACTTTTTACTTCTTTTATTTTTTATTTTTTTAGCGTTTGTCAATGAAAGGAAAACTTTAAACAGAATGAAATACAGCTGTTTGTCCTACCTGACTAGGAAACGAAACTTTTCTTTTTCAGTTGCCAGTTCTACAGAAGACGTGTAATTTAACAAATTACATATCTTCTCTAAATAAGTGAAAATGTTCTGGTACTAATAGTTTTGCACTTTTGGTCAACTTCATTGAGTTCAGTTTTTTTTTTTTTTTTCCTTTTTGTCTTTTTTACTGACCGGTAACGGGATCGCAACCCAGTAACGGGATCGCAACCCGGCAACGGGATCGCAACCCTCGGTGTCGCGCCCGCACCAGGGACTGGCAACGGGATCGCAACCCTCGGTGTTGTGCCCGCACCATGCTCAGCCAGTGAGTGGGAACCGGTCTCCACATGGGATCCGAACCCTCGGCGGGAGCGCCGCCACGCTCCCAAGTGGCGCACTCTCCAGTGCGCCACTGGGCCGGCCCAAGTTCAGTTTTTAAAACCGTAATAATCCAATCATTTGTTTATGGCAGATTTCAGTCTAGAGGCATTCATTAATTCTTTCATACATCCTTTTATTCAATAAACATTTGCAGAGACCCTACTATATCCTGGTCACTTGGCTGGTTCTGGTACCAGAAATCATACATGAGAGTGGAAACTTAAGAGAAAGAGCAAAAATCATTTGCTCCAACATCTGTTTATACTATGGAAGTATCAGATTATAAATCCCTATACTTGAAGGTTCCTCTCAGACTAAGAGCCAAAAGATGTCTTGTCAGGATTGACATGTACGTTGATAGCACCCTGGGCCTGATGATAATGGTGGTGTTGGCTGTGTTCAAACACCCTGAGGAAAAAGAGAAGAACCCTGCTTTAATTGTGAAGAAAGCTAAAACCAGATACTTCCCCATCTTTGAAAAGGTAAGCTGCAGAGATCTGGGGCTTTTACGTTTCCTGTCACTGAGAATATTTAGAGTGAATATCTGAAAAGGCAGAGGCAATGGTAGAGCTTGACTGCTTTGGGATCAAAACTTTAATAAGGATTCCAGAACAAATAACAGGTAAAATTATGGAGCCTCCAACAAAACAGAATTGGAATTAACCAAGTGCAGTGAAAGTATACAGCATTTCTGCTATGATTTTTTAAAATAAGCCATCAGCCCGAGGTGTCACTATCTTGAATTCAGTGTCAGGTATTTTTTTAGGTCTAATACTGGCAGCTAATCCTGCCTCAATCAAAATACAAAGTCTCTTAAAATCACAACTTTTCTGAAGTCGTTTTGGAATGAATACGGGTGAGAAATGTACTCACAGTACCTCTAAGAAGGTTCCAAACTTAGAGGACAGCACTAGAAATGATAAGCAAGACGCATTAGCATAAGGTTCTATAGGGTTCGCTGGACAAATGAATTGTGTGGTATATATCCTCAGTCCTAGCCTTGGGAAAGAATGATTTACTGTTGACTAAACTATAATGAAGAATTCTCTCAGTACCTCACAGTACTAGATGAACAAGTTCCTGTTTATCCAGGGATAATGTACAGTGTTGTTGAAATATCTTCCATTAAAAATAAGTAATATTATTATTTGAGTTGTAGTATTCACTGTGCTTTATCATACTACAGATTTTGAAATCAGTGTGTGGCCTAATCCAGTACTTGCCAAAACATTTTAAAATAATTTATTTGTTCAAACCAGGATCAAACTCAACTTTGTTAATTGTAATCAGTCGATGCATTTCTCATTCTCCTCTCTCTCTTTCTCTCCTTTTTCATCTTGCATTTGTCTTGTAGAGTTACTCTCAGTCTGGATTTCACCCATTGTAAAAACCTCTTTGTTCCTAGATTTCTTGTAAATTGGGAGTTAGGATTAGAAGCTTGATCAGGTTCAGGCTTGATTATTACTTCGCAGATGGTGTTATGTAGGTCATCAGGAAGCACAAATTTTTGGTTGTTGCCCTTCTTATGACATTAATGTGATTGATGATCAATGTCTACATACATTGATGTATTAGTGGATGCAAAATATTGGCATCCCAATCCTGTCAGTCTCTCTTCACTTATGAGCTGGAATACTTTCTATAAAAAGAATCTCTCCCTTGTAATATATTTGGTTATTCTGGAGTATGGTTTAGGTAAGCAAGGAAGATGAATGCTTGTCTCTTTTTATTCAAAATAAGTTTTAAATTTTTATTTAAAAATAAGTTAGTTACTTAGTATATTCAAAGGAGAACAATGAATTTATTATTATTATTATTATTATTACTTCGTTCTTATTTTTGTCCTTTAAGTAACATAATGATACTTTTGTCATCGTGGATTTAAACATATTTGTTGTGTTTTGTTTTTTGTTTTTTGTTTTTTTGTCTTTTGTCTTTTTCCGTGTCCGGCAACGGATCGCAACCCTCAGTGTTGCCCCCATACCGGACCGGGGACCGGCAACGGGATCGCAACCCTTGGTGTTGCTCCCGCGCCTCGCTCAGCCAGTGAGCGGGAACCGGTCTGTACGTGGGATCCGAACCCTCGGGCGGGAGCGCTGCCGCGCTTCCCAAGCGGCGCACTGGATAGTGCTTGGGAGTGTGGCGGCGCTCCCGCCGAGGG